TGACAGAAGAAGGAACAACAGCCAAAATGGTATATCAAGAAGCTTTAATTTAGATTGTGTAATTTTTGTTTTGAAAATCAAAGGTTTAGATAAAAATTTAAAGGATATGAAAATTGAATTTTTTAAATAAATGTTCTTAAAAGTAATTATGTTTATAAATACCTATTTCAAGTAATTTAGACACCTGTGCAGGGAAATAGTGATTCAGCTAGTTGTATTATATATTAAAAATTAGCTCTTAACAGTTTTAAAGCAGTAGAAGAAAACATAGATAATATTTTTTCCTTCTATGGTGTGGTAATGTATGTTATTTTGTATTATCGTGCAACAAATTCTTATGCAAAACTGAACTCTGTTGATGAATCGAGTATCCATTCTAAATTATGTTAATAAAGTTTAGAATGGTAGTTTTAGAAGTAAAATATATATGATAAGACCCAGCATATTAATGTGATAAGACACTGCACATTAATATAATAAGACATTGCACATTAATGTAATAAGACATTGCACATTAATGTAATAAGACATTGCACATTAATGTAATAAGACATTGCACATGAATGTAATAAGACACTGCACATTAATGTAATTAGATTTCAAGTAACCCAATAATCTGAGGGCTTTCAAAAGGCAGACCTTCTTCTTCAGGGTGATTTGCAGGCTCACCCTGAAGAAAGATGTAATTTCCAAAAGCACTTAAATTGTCAGGTTTATTTGATCGTGATTTACCTAATATGTTTGTTTTTATACATATTATGTAAATGTGTATATATATATATATATATATACGTATAAATTGTCTGTATCTTGCATGTTATTTTATATAATAAAAGCTATTTTCTTTACCTGAAAGATATTGCTAATGGACTGCATCTGTCTAGAAAATTTTGCATAGATCTCCATCAGGTCAAATTATTCAAGTTGTTCCACTTTAACAGGTAGGAATGAGTGAGGCTGAGGTTGTGAGCTTTGTGATTTGGAAACAAAAAATAAAGCAAAGTAGGATTGAAAGCTACAAGCATGGCTGTAGGGAAGGGCTTCAGTATGGACGTATTGTGATGTCATCATAGTTTACCTGAAGTTCAAGCTGTGTAGACATGGTGTTTTTGATCTTGTAATAGGAAAGGGACAAATTTTGTTAATATCTATACCTTGATCATGGATGAGAGCAGATTGATAAGTCATGATGTAAAAAAATTCTTTGAGTTTTCCTGTTTTTTTTCAGGGCCTAATACTTGTAGTTGATAATGTGACTGGTGTCCTACTTTGATTTATTTTTTTGTTTCCAACTAATGAAGCTCACAACCTCAGCCACATTCCTACCCGATAAAGACTAAACAATTTGACCTGATGAAGGCTTTTATGCAAGCAGTTTTAAATGTTGTCCAAAACTTCCTATACAGATACAGTCTGTTAACTACATCTTTCAACTATTAAAATTTTTACTCATGCAAGAGCATTTTCTTTGACAAATAAATTCAGTATTCTGTTAAATTTTATCAACATATCGAAGAACAATGAAACAAAGATAAGACCAGAAGACTTCAATAACACAGGCCTGTGATGGTTTTATTGTCTTAAAATTTTTACATGTTCTACAGTAATTCCTGTATGCTGAATCTAAAAATGGTATCTATTTTTCTCCATCACGTACAGATTTTTCACCAAACATCTTATGTACTTTTACATAAGTGAATCATTTTCATTG